TGGGAGGAGATGGAGTCACTGTGCGGGGAGGGGGTGGCTGGAGCCCTGAAGGAGGAAGGAGGAGCCGGTGGCCGCGAGCCCAGGCACAGACAGTGACTGGGAGCAGGGAGGCTACTGGCCCCTGTGCCCATGGGCGGCGGCTGTTCTCAGGGCCCTGGAAGTCACCTGGGGGAGTCTCTCAAGCCAGCGGTTCTCAACCTGCGGGTCGCGACCCCTTTGGGGGGTCGAACGACCCTTTCACAGCGGTCGCCTAAGACCATTGGAAAACAAAAAGATATTTACATTACGATTCATAACAGTAGCAAAATTAGTTATAGAGTAGCAACGAAAATAATTTTATGGTTGGGGGTCACCACAACATGAGGAGCTGTATTAAGGGGTCGCGGCATTAGGAAGGTTGAGAACCGCTGCTCCAAACACCTAGGACGAGCTGCGGCCACGTCCCCTGCAGGAGCAACCTCCTGAGACCTGCTGTCACCTCCCTCAGGCCCTGAGAGCACAGGTGGCTTCCCAGCCTCCAGGGGCCTACTGGCCCCCAGCAGATGCAGCTGCCCCTCCTGGGCTCCACCGTCCTGCACAACCAGTGGTCCCCCATCTGGTGTCAAAACAGAAAGAAGTGGCAGGAGGCTTGCAGAAGGGTAAGTGGGGCGCACAAAGCTGGGGGTTGGGGGGGCACGAGGAGCAGCCAAGCTTTCTGAGGAACGAGATGCAGTTCACAAGGGACCCAGGAGCTCACAGGCCCAGGTGCCCCCACAGGCCGGGCCTGGGGCAAGCACCTGCCGTGCATGGCCAGTCCGTAGGCGTGGCAAAGGCTGACCCACGAGGACACTAGATGCTAAGCAACAGCCCCAAAGTTAGAGCTGTCACTCAAATCATTTACACCAAGAACTCCCAGGCGGGTTTACCAGAACTAACAGAGCGGAGCAGGGGCAACTGGAAGAGCGAGTTCCGAACGCGGCAGAGAGAGACACGTGGACCCAACTGCTCCAAGCGCGGGGGCGCCAGAGGCAGGCAGCAGAGGAGCCCGTCCTGCGAGACGGGACCATCCACCCAGAACTCCAGACAGCAAAACGCCTTTCAGGGGTCGGCACTGACAACTTACAAGCAAAACCCAGTGCCCCCAAAGGACAGAAGGAAGCACAGCAGGTGACCCCACAGGGAAGGCCTAAGGGCAGGAGGACGGGGGAGGAGGGGAGGATAGTGTCCCCCTGGTCCTGGGGCGGGGCCGGGCCAGGTCAGGCAGGACCCACCTACACGACACAGCCCTGCGGTTGGGAAGGGGTCCCCTGAGGTAGCATACTGATCAGGAGGCACAACATAACGGGCAACCTTAGGTCCTGACACGTCTGCAGGGTAAAAACTCTAGGACAGCCACGAAGACAACAGAAACGCAGCACTGTATTTTCCAAACCAGTAGAGAATTAAAGATTGAATTTAAACAACTGTATTTACTCAATCCAAAAAGAGGCAAGGAAGAAAAACAAAAAAATAGGACAAGTAAAAGTACAGACTACTGTTTAAAGAATGTGTATATATAACAATACAGTTGATACGGGACCACCCATCAGCCTGACCTACCCACACATCTCCGAAGGAGTCTTGCCAAAAAAGTTGAAGCTGCCTCCAACTAAGCCAGCAGCTGTCCCCTCGAGGTGACGGGTACCGCTGCGGTTTAAAGCAGCATGACCCCCATGAGTTCTAACGCGGAGGGCAGGAGCCCCCACACAGTTACTCCTCGTGGGTGCCCGTCAGGTACTTTCTGAGAGTTGTGAACTGGACAGAAATACTGGGTAGAAAGAGGGGTGTTATTAGAAAAATACGAGGGCCGGCCGAGTGGCGCGATGGTTAAGAACTGGCTTGGGATGCCAGAGGGCCCCGGTTCGGATCCCACATATGAGGGCCAGTGACACTGCCCTCTACAGCTAAGATGCTGAACAACAGCTCAACCTGGAGCTGGGCTGCCGTGAGCGACGGCATAGGCTGCAGTCCCTGTGGCAGTGGGTTGGCAGTGAGCGGCTGTCCAGAAGCCGGCGACTGATCTGCCTCACCAGGGAAGAGCGCAATGATGGTGCCAACGTGGGCCAGTGAAGCAACGTCCTCCACAACTAGATTGAAGAGCAAAACGACAGCAACTTGTCTGTTCCCCTTCCCCCAATTCCCCACTGCTGTTTCCAACCCCCCAATTCCCCAATAAAAATCTTAAAAAAAAAAGAAAAATACGAGCATTGATAAAAGTGGGGCAAACAGCATAGGGCTGGGGCACCCTCAGTGGCTACTCGGAAAAACCGATCCTGGAGATACAAACAGCACGTCTCCTGAACCTTAAGCCAAGGACCACGTTCGCTGCGGCAGGGAGAAAGCAGGACAGCAGGAGTGAGGCCGGGTCAGCTAGTCCCACACTTTCTCTCACACACCACCTCGCCCAGCCCCTAAGGCCCCCATGGACAGCAAGCACGGACAAGGGTGACTTCACCCTCCCAGACCCAGCGACTCCCCTTCCTCATCCACAGTCCCAGACTCTGCATGTCACTCCTGTATCAGGGGGCAGGGGCGGGCGTAAGTCCGACTTCAGGGCCAGCCCCAGTGAGCGAGTCCAGAGTCCAGGCTCCCTGCACCAGGGCTGAGCCCCGTCCTGTACAGGCAGGGACACGGCCCTAGCGCACAGGGCTCACTCCAGACTGCTGCCCAGCCAGGACCCAGGGCAGCGAGCACTGCCAGCTGCTACCTTCACCAGCACTAGCTGGGAACGCAGCTTCTTTATCCATCTACCTGCACAGCACCCAGCAAACGGGGGACGCGGGGCCCGGCAGGATAGCGTCCATGCACCCTGGCGACCGGGGAGGTCTTCCGCCAGACTCTAACAGCCAAAGGCCCTTGCACGTACTGGTTAAGCCAAGGGCAGCGGGCGGGTAGGAGAGGTGGAAACGGCCGAGGGTGCGCTGTCAGGCAAAAACCTTTTTAAAAAAATGACACTGTAGTGACCAGATAAAACTCCAGGGCCAAACCCATCTGCCGGTCACAGGTCTTCCAATTGGAACAGCGCCCTGGCCACGCCTGTCACTCTGTCACACTGCCACAGGCACTGCCCTCAGGACTCTCCCAGGCCTTCGCCAACCTCGTCAAATAACTCCTGCTCACCCCTGTCTCAGATTCCTCTCAGAACCTCACCCACCCCAACCCCCCGCCCAGGAGAGGCCGCTGTTTCCACCTAACCCTGGAGTTAAGACCCACAGAGCTGACGGCCCCGCCGGGCTCATCTGCCTGGTGGTTTCCCGTGCCACACTGTAGGAACCCCCGCTTCCCCCCACGCCAGCAGGCACTACACCTACTTGTCCCAAATGTCACGCTCAGTAACACTGGTTGAGTAAGTCACGTGACTCCTGGGGCACTCAAGGCCCTTGCCCGAGGACACCTTCCTGGAGCCCCCCAGCTGCCCTGGCCCAGACCTAGCATCACTGTCCGTTCACAGGCCATGGAGGGCACCCCCAAAACATGTGCTGGTCTACGTGTGCTGCACACCCACACGCGGACATGAGGCCGCTCGCCTACGCTCCAGAGAACACACTGGTGCACAGCAAGCCGGCCAGAGCGTCCTCTCTGACGGCAGGCACGGGCCTCCCAGCGGCCCGGGTGGTGTCGGCTTCAGCCGTGTGCAGTCCCGGGGCTGCAGGCCCCTCGGCGCAGGACGGCCGGCCCTCGCTGACCGCCTGCTCCAGCCAGTGCGTCCAGCAGCGCACGCTCACACCCCCTCAGCAGCAGGGAGGCCGCCGGGTGGGCGAGGACGGTGACAGGCCAGGCCCGCGACGCCCACCGCTCCCCGGGGGCGCTCATTTGGTCCCCTTGCTTCTCTGACCAGCCAGCTGCGCAGCAATAAGAAATGGCTGGCTGTCGGCCCGCCGTACTTCGCTGTGTGAAGACGGGGAAGGGACGCTCAGAGGCAGAGGGAGCCCAGAAATGTCTGCCGGCTGCGGCCGGTTCCACAGCGGAGCCTGGTGCGCGGCCAGGCCCAGCGCGGAGCCCTCGGCGGGCACCCGTGCCCAAAGCCGGCCTCTGACAAAACCCGGTCTTCCTCTTCACTCAGAAGAGAGACTCTGGAAAAGGCTCTTCTCCAGTCGGGACAAACACCACCGGGACTTGCCAACATCCGGCCTCCGGGCGCGGGGCGGGGGCGGGGGCTTTCCAGGCGCGGGGCCGAGTGAGCGGCGCAGGTCCCACGGGACGGCCGTCCCGCTTAAGGGACATGTTTGTCTCTGCGCAGTGCGAGCCGCTGCCGGTCGACACTTCCCGGTCCGCGAGCGCTGCCGGCGGCCCCGTCCCCGGCGGAGGGCCTCCACTCGCCCCCAGGCAGCGCGGCGCGCCCGCGGAGACCGACGTGAGCCCTCAGGAGGAGCGGGTGGGACGGGCCCGCCCGGGGCGCTCACTCCGCTCTCCCGTGCAAACGAAGGACTAGGCTGTGACCAGCGGCCACCTAGGGACACAGCAGGGCCTGTGGGCCTCCCGCTGCCCCCGAGAGGGAGGGGGACGGGGGGCGGAGCCCGGGGCTCAGGGGCCTCCTCCATGGGGGGGCCTCCTCCATTTGGGGAACCGGCCCCGGTGAGGGTCCTTCTCCATCCGGGGACCCACCCATAGCGCAGGAACCTCCTCCATCCGGGACCCACCCAGGGTGCGGGGGCCTCTTCCATCCGGGGTAACGACCCGGAGTTCGGGATACTCTATCGGGGAACCCGCCGGGGCGCAGCAGGCTCCTCCATCCGGGGGACCGACCCTGGTGGGGGCTCCCTCCACCTGGGGCACCATCGAGGCACCGGGGCCTCCTCTACCCGGGGAATTTCCGGGCATAGGGGCTTCCTCCACCCGGGGAGCCGTCCCCGCTGCCCCCGACCCCCTCGCTCGCCCGGAGCCCGTCGTCGGGCCTCGCCGTGAGCCCCGGAGGCCACGGACCCGCACCGCCGCCCGCGCCCTGAGGGGACAGCCCGCCCGCCGTCCGCCCGTAGCCTCACCGGCCCGCGCTGCGTGCTGACGGTGGTCGCCATGGTGCTGCGCCGGCCCGCGCCTCGCCCGACGAGAGCTGAAATGCCGGCGACCCTCCGCCGGAGCCTGCGACGCCGACGGTTGTCTCCCGCGAGGCCGCAGCCGCCACAGTCAGCTGACGGCCACCCCGCCCCGCGCCGCCCACTGCGCAGGCGCCGCGCAGCCCTGCCCCTTCCGGCGCCGCGCGCGCGCTCCCGGCGGACGCCTGCGCAGTCGCTCCCCCGCGAGTGGCTCTCCCTCTGCGGTCACCCGAAGTGGCTCCGGAGCGTGCTGGGCGACCTAGGGCAGGTGCGCGTGCTGAGCTGCCACCCGCCAGCGCGGAGTGTGGGGTCTGCCTGAGCGGGTCGCCTGGCCGGCGCCGGGAGCTGCGGCAAGCCTCAGTGTCCCTTCCCACCCCGGGCCTTCTGCTGGCCCCGGGGGCAGGGACCGTGCAACCGCAGAACCAGCTCAGAATGGGCCTGTGCTGGTTCTGACAAGATACTGAGTTGCTTTTCAGGGACAAGAGACCAAACTGCAAGTCATGCAGCCCAAGCGTGGGCAGAGGAGATAACTTTGACCTCCTCTGAACCCAAGTCTGCCCCCACCCCACCCGGGAACCAAAGGACCCGGACAAGCCCGGAACGTGAACACCGGGTCCCTCTCAGAGGCGGAGGGGCCGCTGTCCGGGAAGACCCAGTGCTGCCGCCCCTTACCATGAGCGGCCAAGCTGCAAGGCCCTGCAGTTGAAACTTGCCCCGCCAGCACTTCCGCACAGCTTTCCCCCAGACCCTTAAACCCTCTCTGAACTCTGGATGGAGGTGACAGATTTGAATGGCCTCCAGTCTCCTGCGATCCGACCCAGCATTAAGGAACCACTCTTTCTCTTCTCAAAAGCCAATGCCGTACTGTTGGCTTCTGTGTGAGTCGGGCAGCAAACCCTGTTATGTAACAACAGCCCTCAGACACAGGGTGGCCTTACCCGGAAGTCACCAGGAAGGAGGGCCCGCTGGCTGGGAGGGGTGGCCTGGGTCTGGGGCCAGTGACCACAGGCTCCGCGCTGGGGAGTCAGGGCCCCCACTGAGGGCCACTGGTCACGATGACAGACCACTGAGTTGGGCCAGGGGCAGTGCCAAGATCTCAGAGAGGAAATTCTCCACCTCGGAGTCGCCGAGCAGAGAAGGAAGGTCCCGATTCCAGCCACGGATGGACAGCCTGCTGCAAGTGTGCAAGCCTCCAAGGTGAGGGGATTGTGGATGGAGGGGCCAGAGAACAAAAGCCCTTGATTTACCCCGAAGTCCTAGCTAACGGAGAGATGAGTGTAGGCTGGAGTGCTTAACAGGGCTCAGGAAGGTGGGTGTTCAGTGCAGGAGAAACGAGGCACCGTCCACTACCTTATCTTCATGGGTGATGTCACCTAAGTCTCAGTGAAGCATTATCCACCAACAGCCCCCTTTTTTGGGGGAAATTACCAACGAACAGAAAATATGTCTGCACCTTTTCCATTTTCTGTACCTGTGATGAGGCCCAGGTTGATAATCTCAGCCTCCTTCTTCCACCACTCATTTCACGTTCCCCTCCGCAGAGACTTATTTTCCGTCAGAGAAGGAAGTGCAAAAGGCCTACCTTCAGCTGGGCCTCCTTTCTGTTGAACATAAGCAGTTTCACAGAACATCAGATCAGACAAGGCCACTGTGGTCACAGTGCATCCGTACAAAACCATGATGGCTTTTCGTCACGTGTGAACACAGACAACATGACACCCTCCACGCCAAAAGACAAACATCTCCCTTCCTGGCTGGTATGGCCATTGCTGCTCACCGATTCCAGCTTGAGCCTTGCCCTAGGCTCCCCTGCCTCTAGATAAGAATTAAGAAGCCTACCCCTGCTTCTGACAGCACCTCATGCAGCGCAGAACCCCGCTTCCTCAAAGCTTCCCTATAATCACTGACAAAAGCCCAGATCCGATATTGAGTCCTTTCTAACGCCCTCTGACAAGTCGCCCTGTGCTTCCCTGGGGTGTGTGCCGTCCTTTGTTGCAACGAGTGACAGTCCCACCCTGTTGAGTTACAGGTGTGTTCCTAAGGTCTGGCTGGACGGCGCTGACACACCCAAGACTTCAATTGTCCTTTTCCTCTGTACCCACTTTCCAGAGCCTTCCGAAGTAAACAGCCCACGGCATAAACTGTGTAATCACCGTTTTACCAAAGCAGCTCAGTGTCTCAGCCACTTGACCTGTCTCTCCGCCCTCCACATGCACCACATTCCAGGCCACCGCTGGAGATCATTTGAGGGACTGGGATGGCACTGAATGACACAGATTCCCCAGGGCTCAACTTCCCTCTGGCAAGGATTTCATCCACGTACTCATCAAATATATAAGCAACCCATCTCTAGATTCCTATTTGGAGAGCCTGTTTTCTGGGGACACGTCTGGTGGCAATTACTGTATCAGTCAGGGTCCCAGCAAGAAACAGATGGCACGCTCAGAAAGATAATTGGAGGAATTTTAATAAATGGACTGTTTACAAAGGAAGGGCAGAGTTAAGTGAACAAGCAAGACACAGAGAAGCACGGAGGGAATTTGAGCTTTGGGAAGCCACTGCCACTCCTGGCCTTAAGAGGACAGAGAGGCAGCAGTAGCCAGGAAGAGGCGTCCTGGGCAAAAGTGTGGCTTATGCAGAAGGGAGGAGGCCACCTGCCTAGTCTGGGGGAAAAGGTGCTGGGACCTGTCTCCTCCCACCTCTAACTTCCTGTGATGAACCCAGGTTGGTGGTGCAGCCTGTAGACGTCAGCTCCTTGGGGCACAAAGAGAGGCAGAGAAAGGTGAAGAGTGGATCTGGGAGAGCACATGGAGACACTCCTGCACATGCATCTATCAGCAATAACCAAAGGATACAGTTTTGGAAAAGAGCAACAAAAGAATAATAGAAGGTACACAAAACTTTTTAAAAAGTGAGCAGAAGTGTTAATGTTATAAAACGTTAGTGAAAGACGTTGAAAGAGACCTGAATAAAATGAGAACTATGTACTGTATTCATGGATGAGAAGGCTCAAATGTGTCACTTCTCCCCCAAATTGTCCTACAAAAGAAATTCTCGTTAAAACTCCAAAAGGGTTTCTTCAAGAAATTTAACAAGCTGATTCTGAAATGAATATGAAAGAACAAAAGAATAATAGCTGAAACATTCTAGGAGGAGAAGGAGATGGGAAGGAACTGTTGTAGGAAAATAAAAATGCATTATAAGACTATGGTAATTGAGACTGTGATATTGATATGGGGATAGACAAATTTACCAGTGGAGCAAAATATAGAAACTTGATTTATGAGAGTGCTGGCACTGCTGAGCAGCTGGGAAAGGAAATATTTTTCAATCGATGGGCTAAAACAATTGGCTATACTATGGAAAAACTTAAATCAGACCCCTACCTTATGCCAAACAAAAAAGCAATTTCTGATGGAATTGATCCAATAAATACTTGATGAATTCAATAATCTGTGCTGTGTTTGGAAAGGCTACAAACAAGGAAAGCTGTCGCCTCCCTCTGATCTGTTGAGCAGGACCGAGCAGGAGTTGAGGTGTTGGGAGGTAACAGGTATGATGACAGGAGAGCCACTTGGTGAGCCAGGCACGGGAGAAAGGTGTGCAGTATACCAGGACGACCTGACACTCGGGGCACTGACCAAATACCCCTGAGAAGGGCAGAGGGAGCTGGGGAGAAAAGGGGAGTTAGGTGGGCCAGAGAAGGGGGTTTCAAACCTAGAGTGGGCATTAGGGGCCATCTCAAGGTGTAACCATGAGCCGACACCACGGAGCTTTGAGGACGAGCAGTGTGGCCGTAGAGCTGGGCAGAGAAGACAGAAGGAGCCACGCTGGAGACCGGGGTCCAGCCCAGTGTATTTCTGCTGAGGGTCGACTGTAAAGGGCATCCTAACTTCAACACTGATTTCTCCAACTCATTGCCTACATTCTCTGAGGTCCGGTGCCAACGTTGAGACCCCCAACCCTGTGTGTCACCTGAGCGATGTCACCATTTGTGCAGTCATCACTGAGTCCAGCCCATTTCCATGTTGTCATGGGAGTCCCACTCTGCTCACCCTTCCTGTGTCCAGGTTGCAGCTCATAACAGCCCATGCGGGCCCCAGTGCTCATGGAGCGCCCTACACACCCAGAGCCCCGGACAGGTGTTCTGCACACTTGTGACTCGGGGGCCTTGAATAATAATGAGATGAGCCACATGTCTCGGTGCTTCATCTGTGCCAGGCATTGACACATACTGTGTCATTTAAGTCACACTGCTATCTGATGGCAGCGGAGCTTCTGTTGTCTGCATTAGAGACGGAGGTAACAGAGGAGAAGGGTGAAACGCTTACCACGTCTACCGCCAAGTAATCGGTGCCCACGACACATAAACAAGAAAAAGAAACCAGACAGATAGATGAACAGATGTTTAAGTTGGTAATTCAAACGGGAAGCCCAAAGCTTGACAGGTATACGAAGGGGCATTCAAACTCGCTAATAACAAGAGAAACAAAATGACGACGAGACACAACCTCACGTCCTCAGAATAGTAACAATGCAGAAGTGAGAACGGAGGGGATGCGAGCTGCCACGTGGTGGACAGAGGCAGCCACGCTCGGCAGAGCACACGCCGCCGCTGTGCCCTCCGGAACTAGATCTGAGCCCGGACGGCTCACACGGGTCCTCAACGGGATGCAGGGAGGCTGCTCGTCACACGGCTGTTTGTGTAACAGAAGTCGGTAGCCTGTTATATTCTGTGGTGAGTGAATAAGTACAGCCTGATGGGTGTGCTCTACGGAATGCTATGTAACAGGTGTTCCCCAGAACAGCTTGTATACATTTGTTAAAAACCCACACAAAGTATATGAAGCAGCCGTCTCCAAGACACTGGACATCAGCCAATGAAGGCCAGCAGACAGGAGACAAGTGAGGGGCCCAAGGACTACCCCTGTTTACTGCCTGGCGAGTTTCCAGGCTGCTTGCAGGCGTCATGACCCAGGTGAAGAGCAGTGCTGTCCCTGAGCAGAGGACACTCAGCCGGGAATGCCAGGGGGGCCACCACGGGGCCACCAGCTGCGTGGGAGAGCAGTGCCATCTGCAGGGGCTCCTGGCGCCTTCGGTTGGGTACAGATCAGATCAGTACCCACCGGGGAC